AAATCTAATGGCTATCTGCGATTATTGATTATCGTTCCGCATTGTCCAGAATCTTGAACTGAATATTGGCAATTTCTCGTGACTACTTCACGACCATGATACATGCATTTCTTAAATTGAACTTTTTGAGCCAAACACGTACACATATGATAAAATGAATGTCACCATCGTGTTCTACGCCCCAAATTACCCTTTAAACATGTGTCACAGGCTGCGAAAATCAGTTTTGATTTTCGGGGATATGTGCCTACCCGGTTGACCTGGCCTTGACCCTGACCTATGCTTGACTGACCCCTACATGGAGCTGACACTCTTGTAGGCCTTATATGATGGATTGTGCACCGTTTTGACAGAGTTTATGACGAGAGGCGCCCATTGCGAAATGCGAAGTCCTGAAGTCCATGCTACTGAAAGCCCGATTTCAGGTGTTTGACCCGAGCTGTGACCTCAAAATTCAACTTTAAAGTACTCATCTGAAGCGTCTCGTCGCGTTCTTTCGTTTGCCGCCTCGTGCGTTTCGCTGCGCCTATTGGTTCTCGAGTTATCGGCTGGGGCGTTTAACGCCCCCCCCCCCCCCAGCAAACGGTGGGTGGCGAAATACCCCAGCAACTGCCGGGTTAAAGATGAAGAACTCACAGCTGCATTTTTAAGCAGAAAATCAGATGTTTCGTCATGAATCCTGACGTCCCTAGAGGCCCGTCTGCCAGTGCGACTGGACCCACCTTGCCCACCTCCCCTCCCATCGAAAGGTCCTGGACTCCTGGATACGTCCCTGCCTGGGCTGACCCCGAGCCCCCGGATGACTCGCGGGTCCCTTCAAGAGCAGGTGACCCCTTCTTGGGCGAAATCCTGGGTACGTGTCTGACATACATAGTACATAATCCTGTTGAGTTGAATCGGTTAACCCGCGCCCCGTAGGGGGGGGCCGAAACGGCCCCCCCCCCTGTCCTTTTCGGTCGATATCTCCTAAACGGCTGGAGATATCGCCACCAAACTTTAAGGACCCTTCCGGGCATCAATTTTACACATTGTGACCAAAAATTTTTCCAGAGGCTATGATAGGTTGGCCACAAATGACGTCAGAGTGACGTCATGTTCTGTCATTTTCGACCGAAAAAAGACCTTCGCGAGAAGACCTGTCAGGACTACAGCTTTGAAGATACAGAAAAATGATCAAGACATAAAAGGTGTAGAATTGACAGGGCTACAAAACTGCTATCTCGAATTTTTGAAATTTTTGAGTTTTGACCCCCAAAAATCAAAAAAGCATTTTTTTTGGATATATTCGCCAAAAAATCCAAAAAGTTTCTTGAGTTTCGAAAAAACCGGAATATATGTGATAGTGCCTACCGTCTTCTATCTACATACCAAATTTCAGATCGATACCTCGTTTTTTGGCCAAGTTATAGCGAAAAAACTGTTCAAAAATGATGACGTCAAATTTTCAAACTCAATTTTTGGCAATTCTAGAACTCGTAGAGCAAAACGAAGACCACCATTAAACTCCCCGTGACGAGCTGCATCGAATCGATACCCATTTTATGCAAAAATATCAACTTTGAAATTTGACCTAATTTGACCTGACCTTGACCTGACCTTCACCAAAACGTGACCTAGGCTGGCCCCAAAGGCTGCCTAACCCACATAATCGCATTTGTCATGTAAAATGGACCATAAAACATGTATCACACGACACATTCATATAATGACCCCCGGTGACCTGACCTCGCTGTGACCTGACCTGGTATCAGTGACCTCAGATAGCAAAGTATGTGTTTGACGAACAATGTACCATCGATGGTTTTCAATAAATTACCAATTTACTCGCTTTCACAGCACATTTCTTGAATTGCCTGTGAACGGTGAAAATCTGACCTTTGACCTGACCTGTGACGTCATCGGTTTGACCTAGGTCAACGAAATTTGGTCACAAGGTAGTTCCCGGGTGGGGCTATCGAACGCCGTTTGAATTTTGAAAATCGGCCGGTAACTTTCCGAGATCTTAGGGGGGGCCGAAACGGCCCCCCCCCCCCCTACGGGTGGTAGGGTCCGCCGGTAGCCCTACGGGGCGCGGGTTAAATATTGAATAAAGTTATAAGCTGGATCTCTGGTCTGTAATCTCGCATCGTATCAGATAGACATTTCATGTCGATGTGCCTAAATAAATATGCGATTATACGTGAAAAGGGAGTGCTGCTCCCGCTCCTATACATCCGGCCCAAACAGTGACCGGATCATGCTTCTAGCCACCCGGGGCCGGTCGGCCGGCCGGCAGTCAGTCGCTGCCCGGGGCTGATTTCTGAGGGACTTTCAAAAATGTTTATTAATTGAATGTTTTAGGTAATAACTAAGATGATTAGGTTTATGGACCGACTCTGAGTTGCATTTGAATAAACATGCCAGCGTAAAAAATATTTTAAATGTTTTGAAAATTAAGCTGGTGCCGAAATAATTGTTCTACTATGCATTGATAAAAGCTAAAGCTTTTAGGCCAACCGAAATATAACCCCGTCGGCCGTAACTTTTGGGGGGGGGGGGGCCTTCGGCATGGTGGTGGGGGGACAGTTCGCAGGTCGCGCCCCTCCCATTCAAAAATCCTGTGTGCGCGTCTGTGTCAGACCGAAAGGGCCTAACCCAACAAAACACCTAAAGTCTAAACAAAGCAGTGTCTATGGCTCATTGCTGCCATCCCTATGTAGCGGGAGCCTTCCAAACGTCTACTTAGGTCCCTCAGACACCAGATGGCAGTCCGCTCCAGAGGGCAGCACTGACGCATATTGGCCGGCCGGCCGGCAGCAGCGCTCTCGGGCGACTGACTTCTTGCATGACTGACGGGTAAAAGTAAAAGAATAATAATTTGAAGACAGAAGGCATTGGAGCTCAGTTTGACAGAACCAGGCTAGCCAGAGAGTGACGTACTTTTCTACGTATGAACGCAAGTTGCGACTCCACCGAGACAAACGCATACATACACCACCAGAGCGCTCGATTGCCTGTCACCAATGCGACAGGACAATGCGATGCTCCTTCGTGATCGCCATCCTCAGCACTCATCCCATCCTCGTTTCGATCACACATGCCCATATTCGGGGTTGACGGCCACCCCACAACACCAGATAGCCAGTGAGGCCAGTTACAGCACAAAAGTACGGTAGTATAGTACCCCTCCGAGGTGAGTGATGACCGTTTCGACCGCTAGCAGTTCAGTGAAATAGATGCAGTGGGTAATGAAGTCTAAACAAACAGGTATCTTGTAAGTGCAACAAAAATTAATCCTTGTCTGTTCGGGCCTTTTGCAGCATTTAACTATAGAGGGGATCTGTTGAACTTTGAACACCTCCTATACGTTAGATGTAAATTGAACCAGTTAGATCCACCCTCTACATATGTACGTACATATATCCTACGAACCCCCTGCCGTTCTGCCCTTGATTAAGATTGGCTTTAAAGAAAAACGAGCGTGCTGCCAGTGACGAAAGGGAGCCAGCGAGCTCCAAATTTAAGGTCTGAAGTCATTGGTTCATCTTCCAGGTCAGGGCGATGACCCAAATGTCGGGAAAATCGGGAACTGCTACAGCTCGTTTGAGTGAGGATTTTATTACAGTTACAACGTCCTGTTTCCGAATAATTTTGCGTTTTTTTATCAACGATGCTGATTTCATGCATTTAGAGAAAGCAGTGTCAGGTAAGAGGCGGGGCAGGTCAACCATGAGTATAAGCGTTCCCTCCGGCTGCTCATAGATAGCCGGATTCCGACAGCCAGTTAGGTATTCATGGAAACTACGTTTTTTCGACCCCGCTGGAAGTGCGTGAGTCACATAAAACGTGATTCTTGAATCGTTATTGAGGGCATAAAAACACAAAGCGAATTCAACTGATACAAGTTTGAATTCACACAAACAACAAGGCAGTTGATGAATATCCCACATGACAAACTAATCCCGCAGCTTACCTATTACCGTAGCATCAAATAAATTCCCAATTTTTAACGCATTTGAAATTCGAAATCGCAGAATCTACTGACAAGGCAACATACTCGTATGACTGAAATACAAATCTATAGCCATTATTGGTGTGATATCGTAATCAAACGTTGATTCAGTTTCGTTGACTATGAACTACACCTAATATAATGGATTGTTGATTATGTAAGGACATATTTGTGTTATGAGGTTATCGGTGGAGCCAACAAAGATATAATTCATCCAACAGTATTTTCATTTAGTTATTTGTTGGCTCAACCGATGATCTCATAACGAGCAGATAGGCGCTGGATCTTTCTGAATAGAAAACACTATAGGCATTCATTTATATCATGTTCTTTAATTTTCTTTCTTTCGAATCCAGAAGCGAACATCCCCAGGCGAAGCGGTTCGAGAACACACACAGTGTTCGCCATGGGCCGGAAAATCCCAGTCCAGTCCAGTCGGCCCAACCCAAACCTATCCATGGTAAAGGTGTCAAAGCTCACCCCGGCCCAGCCCGTCAAAAATAAATGGATTAATAATTATGGACACCCAACAGCCATTTGTCATCCAAAGGTTGCAAAGAATATACATTCTTGGATGATACCGCGAAAACGAAATATCTCTATCGAGAGTTTTCAAAGGATTTCATGCACGAGACCTTGGCCGAGTGCATGAAATTCTTTGAAAACTCGAGATAGAAATATTTCGTCGCGGTAGAGTCCTAGATATTATTTCCTGTATGTTTCTTAATATCGTTCGTTATTTGCTTAAAAAAGGCCGAGATATGCATAAATAAAATACACTAACATTAACTACACGTTAAATACTGAAATACTGGCAGTTCTAATTACTTTACAGTTCAGCAAAGCTTACAAATTTTCTTAAAAACAGAAGCCCTCGATGAAATCAAGCTATCCAAGAAAACCATCCAAGAAAACGTCTCGCGCAAAGTTTCTTGGATGGCTGGATTGCATTGAAAGACTGCATCAAACATACAGGAAACAATCCTGAGAGCAGCATTCACAATGCACATTGCACGTAACTATATGCTTTATTAACTTGTTTTTTGAGTCTTACACAAACATAGTTCTTATAGTTTTTGTCTCAGTCGCAAACCCCTGCAAGTCCACTTTACAATTCTTGGCCTAGCCCATCCATAGACCATCGATCCTTCATATTTGAGAGCCCAGCCTAGCCTATGGCCCATCGGGCTGGCTCGGCCCATGGCGAACACTGCACCACACCCTCATGTTGTCATCGTTATCCATCATAAGGTCCCGGCTGGCACTCCACGCGGCGACAGCAGCCGGGATACTTGGCAACGGGGTCACCGGCCACCACTCTGCACCCTGGTCGGCGGGCGCTGACGAACGGACACCGCGTCTGCGTCACCGTGCCGGTGCTCTCGCAGAAGGACTCGAAGCACCCGCCCTCAGCCCAGCGATCACCCTCGAAGAACCAGCGGTCCAGTACCGGCGAGTAGCAGCGGCCCGGGCACAGGTAGGTGGGGCAGCAGTACGGGTAGTCGGCACCATCGGCTGGGTTCGGCACCACCAGCCGGCAGTCGGCTGAGGGCGGCGGCTGACAGCGCCAGCGGCGCACCACCGCCACCCCTCCCTCGGCGATCTCGCAGCGGCTGCGCACACAGCCGCGTTCCGTCCACACGGAGTCCGCGGCCCGGCTGGCGCCCGACGCGTCTCTGCACACATCCAGCGGCGTGTCGCACACGACAGAGTCGCAGCAGAGCGGGAACGCGGCGCTGCTGTTGCCCTCCACCAGGCGACAGTCGGGCCGGGACGGGTCGTACCTCTGTCCCGGACACGACAGCCGCTCCACCCGGTCGGTGCCGACGCAGATGGCCCTCGTGCAACCGTCATCCCACTGCTCCCCGACCGAGTACCAGCGGGGGCCGTCCTGGCACCGGCCCGGGCAGCGGAAACGGGGGCAGCAGTGCGGGAAGTTGCCGCGCCCCAGGTCCTCCCCGGTCTGCACACAGTCAGGGTATGGAAGCTCCCCCGGCGGACTGCACAGCTCTCGGGTCACTACCGCTTCTCTCGGGCCAGCCTCACATGTGTTCCCCGTGCAGGAGCTCCCCGTCCACGAGTCTCCCGGCCCAAGATACCTGTCCAGCCGCTGGGAGTAACAATTCCGACACGTGATCTTGGGGCAGCACCGGGGGTAGCCAAAGCGCAGATCTCCGTTGTCCAGGCCGCAGCCCGGGGTGTCAGTGGCCTCCAGGGGACACCCGAAAGCCTCCACGCTCCCGCCCGGTCCGCATGTGGCCTGGCCGCTACAGTTTTGCAGTGTCCACCTCTCGCCCACAGCAAAGTGGCGGTCCAGGTGCGGGACATAACAGGGCCGCTCTTCCAGGTCACACTTGACCTGGTGGCAGCAGGCCGGGTACTCTGCGTCCGGGTCTCCGGGAACAGCGCGGCACCCTGGTCTCAGGCCGATCAGACCGCACGGTAGGAGTCCGACGGTATCCGTGCCGATGCATTCTGCTCTCAAACAGCCATCTTCAGTCCATTTCTCGCCGACTTCAAACCAACGCTGTTGGCGTCTTGAAAAGCATCTTCCTGGACATAGATACTCGGGACAGCAGTCTGGAAACTCAGCCGAGACATTTTGCGATACCAATTGGCAGTCGGGGAACGGGGAGGGGCTGCACGAAGTCCTGACAATTTTCGCAGATGTGCCGTCCGGCGCGGCTCGGCACTCGCCACGAATGCAGCCTTGCTCGGTCCACACTTCTCCGACAGCGCGCAGAACAATTGGACCAGGTGATGAGTGATACTCCTCGCTATCCAGGCAGGTGACAGGGACTTCAGACAGGCCACTGACAAACGCGCTGCAGAGCGTTGTCAGCAGCACGGCCGCCGGCGTCCTGCCAACCATCTTGGTCCTAGTCCGGAGGAGCCGCCTAGACGTCCCCCCGCCGATCAGTGCACCAACACACTGCGGGAGACGGGTCTCATATCGGAGTGTTTGGCATAGTTTGTGGAACGAGTCGTGCCGGCTGGCGTAGTCAGCGAGTTTATAATGAAGGCAAACATCTCAGCTATCCGGCGGGCCGCAATGCTCGCGTGTTTAGACCATAGAGCGGCAGCACCCAACAGGGCGAGTATTGGGGCGTCAAGGCCGCAAATACCAAAGCAAGGCGACAATATTCAAAGCTGATTAGGGGCTTTGAAAATGACGAACTTCATTCGGTGGTAATTCATAGATAAGTGAACGTTGATAATTACTTCGACGAAAATGACTCATTATTAGTGATAAATAACTAGTGCCTTAACCCTCACCCGTATTGGTGTTTTTCCAGCCGCGAACGTATAAGGGGGGTCCGTTGGACCCCCTCCCCTTGCCGTTTCGCCCCTGATCGAGCTAGAGCTTCGCGGAAAAAACGAGCGTGTTGCCCGTGACGAGAGGAAGCCGATGATACCCAATTTTAAGGTCCTAGGTCATTGGTTGACCTTGCAGGTCAGGTCAATGACCCCAAAGGCGGGAAAATCGGGACCTGTTAGAACGTCGTAAAGTGTGGCTGCTATGGGGTTTTTCGAGGTGCTGATCACGAATATCATGTTAGTTTTGATCACAGATGATGTCTTCATGTATTTAGGCCAGGTCGGGTCAGGTCAGGTCAGGTCAACCAGTAAGGGTATTCGTAGTAGGTGGCAACCACCTCTGACAGCTTCGTAACATGTTACGAAGGCACCAAAACTACTTCGTAAATGTTCATATGGTTGCTAAATTCGAATTCAGCTCCAAAAACTGGCCTAGAAACATGTAAAACTCGAAAACGTGAACCGAGGTCATCAAAGGTCAATGACCTGACCTGACCTTCAGGTGACCTTGACACCCACCCTAATGCATGGGGGCAACATCATATCACATGTTGGAATGCTTGAAACCACGAAAAGACTGCAAACGCGCGGCTAATGCGAGCCGACATACGCCGAATCGCGATTCCAGCCAAACATGGTCTCGAAAAGTAGGTCACAGGTCAAAGGTCATTTGGGTCAGGGTCATGAAATTTTCAGGGTAGGTGTGAAATTGATGAACGCGAGGGTACTGAAAGTTTCGTCGCGATCGGCCGCTTTTTACGCGAGTTATTCGCGAAAAATCATGGGGGGTCCGTTCGACCCCCCCTATACGGGCGAGGGTTAAGCTTGAAATTTGAGCTTTTCTTTCGCTGTAAGCTTCTATGCATTATGTTCCAAAAATGAAAATGGCAATTATTCGAGCATGATAATTTTTATTATGGTTTGCATTAGATTTGTATTTTTTATCTCATGCATGAGCCGTGAAGTATTGGGGCACTACGACTGATAATTTGAACATTTTTCTTCAGCATCAGCAAAGTGTTTGCAACAGCACTATTATGCCATTTCACTAGTTTCATCCCGATGTGCAACAAAACCTGACGTAAAACGCCCCCATCCCACTACGGCAAGGGTGTTTTCTTTTCGACATATGTATCAAGTTTATGAAAAATTTAGTAGATACGATATCTTGTTAAAATATAGAACCCAGATAGGAACTATAGAGAGAACTATACAGGAATAGGCGTATGAAATCCTAAAGTAGCTTGATCCCTTTTTCAAGGAATCACCTAACTTCGACAGGAGAAACGAAAACGTATTAGGCAATTCTTTCTGGAAACCCTGTTCACTGACGCAAGCACATGATCTCATGTGAACTCATTTTATTGTACAACCATAGCACTGGCTTACATAACTAAAACAACGCTTTCTTTCGATTATGATTCAACAGTTAGAGATAACCTCTTGCATTTCAGCCGCGTTACCCTAGTTTATCCTCGAGACCTACCGGCGCATGTGTGAGTGGGCAGGCCAGTCCGGGGCGTACAGCGCGGCCCCGGGGGCTCCGTGTTATGGACGAGCCTCGTCAATCTGCCCGTTCTCGGCCGAGTGACGGCGCCGGCGACCGCTGAGCGGTAAATCTGGCGACAGGCGCCGGTTTTCGTGCGACTTGCGCCTGTTTCGTGTGACAAACACCGGTTTCGTCTCAGGCAGGCGGTGCAGTATCAGTTGACTGGTGATGGTTAGGTGTGCGATAACTAATAAGCAGTGCACAGGTGGTATATTTCGAAAGTTCACACGATATAACAAGCTTTGTGCATGTCAAAATAAACATTTTTTTTCTATTTCAAACCCATAACTTCGTTGACCTTCGCCCCAGTGTGTGTGTGGGGGGGGGGGGGCATATGTTACCAGTCCACCCTGTCGCGTTTTTTGCGTGTGAATAAAAAACCGCGGCGCGTAGCGCCTCGCCGCTTGGAGTAGCTTGCTGTACATCAATGTTGGACAATGTGTAAAATTTTTGACCCCAGGTCATGTCAGGTCAGGTCACCAGGTTAAGTTAACTGACCAAGCCTAAGAATTGCAATCATGTCCAGCCTGCAGTGTTTGTCAGAGAGGTTTTAAACTTGGTGGATTGCATGATGCTATGGACACCTATAATTTGTATATCTCTAATTTTCTTTAGCTCCGTGACCTAAGGCCAGGTCAGTGGCGTGAACTTTCCATTGTAAGTCAATGGAGAAAAATGAAAATGCCTCTAGATCCGTGTGTACTCATAGGAACAGTCCATATATTTCCGAATCACAATGATTTGGACCACCCGTGACGACCATGGTATCTTTTTTTTTGCTGATAGCCTCTAGAAAGGTCATCCGAGGTCATTTGAGGCTATAAACAGATTTTTTGCCAAAAACTCTCGATTGGAAAGAGATAGAACACTGGGGATGGCTTCATTGTGTTTGTCTTGTTGAGACGCATCGAATTATTTGCAACATGACCTATTTGGGTCACCACGTGACCTTGACCTGAGGTCAAAGTTTGACCTTGAACTTTCCAGACAAAACATATATTTTTGGAAGCGACTGGAAGGAAAGGATAGTGCCATTGCCAATTCTTCATATTTGCTGTTCAAAAGTTATTCGTGAAAAAGTTGTATACAAAAACAGCTATTTTCACAATGTTTGACCTATGGAGGCTTAACTGTTGACCTGAGGTCAATTTTGATGATGACCTTATCAAAAGAACAGTTCAAAAGATATCGATTGCTTTTCCATGCGTTTTTCTGGCTATCATAGTTCGTGAGATAAAGGCACGTTTTCTGAAAAATATAATGACATTTGGCAAATTTTGACCTTTGATGACCTCTGGTAACCCCAATATTGCTCTAATGACCGCCCCACACCGGACATCGCATGCGGGTTGCGAGTTTGCGGGTTTTGAGTTGACGGGCATAATACTAATTCATAAAGTGATTAGAACGTTCCAGCTTATGGTAACTTCATGAATGCAGTGAAGCCGGTACACCTTAAGAAAATTAAATATAGTCGCAAAACCAGCGCAACGAACGAAAAACCTGCAAACCTCGCAGAACTCGCAGACCTCGCAGCGAGGAAAATCGAAAGTTGACTCAAAATTTACTTTTGGAATGCGATGCAAGGTGGCTCGCAAGCTAAAAACATGCAGACTCGCTTGTTTGATGGTAGTGTGGGTCACTCAGCTTAGTTTGTATTATTTGATTTTGAGGAAACCCGAAAAACCAAAAACTCGCAACCCGCATGCGAGGTCCGGTGTGGGGCGGCCTTAACCCTCGCCGGCCGAGGGGGGGGGGGGGCGGGTGCCGCCCCCCCATAGGGTTTTTTCGCGATAGCTCCGAACACGCTGGCGATAGAAAGCTGAAACTTGGCATACCTGACCTTTGATCCAAGCCGGATCTTTTGACACCAACCGCATTTTTGGGTCAGGTCAGGTCACTGACCTATGACGTCATAAGTGAACCTCTGCACGGTCTTCAGATGTCGCAACTTCGCAACGCCCTCACTGCCAGAGGAGATGTCACAGGGAAATGAAACTTGCAGGATCTAGTATCCATTATGAGTCCCACAATTTGTATATCTCGGATTTTTCCTAAAGGTCATATGGGGTCAGGTCATTTTCGTGACCTCACCATTATAAGTCAATGGGGAAAAATTCAAACTGCTATTCTGGCGCCGGGAACGATCTCCAACTATCTCAAGCACACAGAATCGTGATTTGATGCACTCCTTGCAAGGTTAGATGCGTCACTTTTGCAATGTTGACCTTGCGTGACGTCATTTATGACGTCATCAAGGTCATATTAGTTTTTCGTCAATAACTCTTGATCAAATTGAGCTAGCGAGTCGGGAAAGCCACCAATGGACTCAAGAAGACCTGCCGAATCGAATGGTATGCGACATGACCTCTTTCGACCAACTTCGTGACCTTGGGGTGCTGACCTGACCTTGACCTGAGGTCAACACCCCAAGTTGACCTGACCCGGACAAAAAGTATATCATTCGACGCGACTGAGCGAGACGAACACGATGCTGCCAAAATCGGCGCTCTGCGGCCGTTTTTTGCGAAGTTATTCACCAAAAACTGAACCGTACCTTGGGGCACTTGACCTGACCTCAGAGGTCACCGGTTGACCTAGGACCTTAAAATCGGGTACCAATCTCTGCGTCTCGTAACGGCGCACACGCTCGTTTTTTCCGCGACGCGCTAGCTCCACCAGGGGCGAAACGGCGAGGGGGGGGGGGTCGTACCCGCCCCCCCCCCCTCGGCCGGCGCGTATGTAGAAAACCAATAGGTCCGGCGAGGGTTAAGATGAAAAATGATTGAGATACTTTCAAACGAACGCATTGAGAGCCATCGACTGCTTTTTACCGCGTCTTTCTAGCCCTCTTCGTTTTTCTAGTTAGAGATGGGTGGTAGCATATGCCCCCCCCCCCCCCACATATGGCGAAGTTGGCTGAGACCGCCACTGGGGCGCGGGTTAAGCCAAACAGCACATAAGTATCGGTCAATAATTTTTATGCTGTTTTTTTCTCGAAAATGAGCTTTGACTAAATCATTCTAAAAACAACTGTTTCAAGCGATTTATTGGCCTGCTCGATATCAATTGAAAGACATCAAGACAATCTAGCCTTAAAATGAAATGATTATGATTTAAACTGGGGCCAGTTCTTCAGGTCAAATTCCAAAATGTCCGTCATAAGCGCATTTAGTAAGCAGCGAGTTAAATACTTACCCATCCAAAGAAAATAAGGGGAGCGCCGATAACTAATTTGCTTTTAAGTGTAGCTACTTCACAATTCAATTATTCTAAGA